ATGTATAAAAACAACAGCAACAACAAATGAAAATTATTCTCACTTTATAATGACTTTAAGTGATTAACAATTTCACCACTCATATTTACAGATCCACTGCAACACGAACCTAGTTTTATTTTCAGCATTTTAACACATTGTTTCTTCTTCTGACCTCTCTACTCCCTACAAACTATAATTAATTAATTTGTTCGATATATTTTATTTAATATGTATGAATGAAGCTGTAACATCTCAGACTGCATCTGTAAAACATCAACTCAATTCCCACTATTTTATTTGATTTTATGATGAATATATATGAATACTGTTTTCTTGCACTGTTACTCATAAATGAATCTGAATAGTTCATAAAGGTGAATTTACCTCCTCTGCCAGATCCAAAGGTGAAGAACAGGAGGATGAATTGAAATGCAGGTAGAATATTAAAGCTTATACCAACCAGAACACCGAATATAGTAAGTATCCGTTCACTTAATTTGTTAATGAATCTAGCCAACAACTGTATCAGAGGAAAAAAAAAAGGATACAACGTTTGACTTGGTTTTAAACTAATGTCATGAAATGTTATCGTGACAGACAAAGAATCAGTGCAGGGCTAAACTAATTTCACTAATAGGTTCAGTTCTCTCTCCATATTTATCTATCTATCTATCTATCTATCTATACAATTGCTGTCACCTTGTAGAATCTGCAAAATCTTAAGTGATATTATAGTTTTTATATTTGCACTTTTAAGAAACACTATTAATCTGATAAAGTATGATTTCACAGCACACACTCATCAGAGGTAATTGACTAAAATATTTATAAAGAAATACTTACAGTATATGATATAGAGGAGGTTTAGCAGAAGCACTATAACAAAGAGGACTGGTATCACGATACTCTCAAATCCGGTATAACTTATACTTTTGTCCCAGGCATATTTAAACAGAACTTGAAGAAAGCAAAAGATTATAGTGTGATATGTTTTGTGTAACATTTAATGCAGGTTGTTTATTAATTGGCTTGTGTAGTTTATGAAAAAGATGATAAAATCACAGAGATTCAGCAATGAACACATGCAGAATCAATTAAACATGTGAAATGTTACGTTTTAGATTTGCTGTAAATTGTTCACCATATTACATAATTTAAAACTGTTAATATGCGCTTTAATGTGCATGACAAATTACCTGAATAAAAGACAGCTGAGAAAACTATGTATTCTGCTCTAAAACTATATTTCAAAATCCATGTTTTATTGTTGCCTGTAAAACATTCAAGATGAAGTAATTACACAAATGCCAATAAAACATTAAGTATTTTTAATGGAACATTCATTCAACTATTTTGGATGAATTAAATGAATCATACCTGTGAACTCGTGTACATATGGAGCCGCCCAGAGCACCATGAGAGGCCTCAGAAAATAAAGAGCACAACAAGAGACTGACTCAAACAAAGATCCTGAAACAAAACCAGATATTAGTAATTCCTGTAATAAGTATTTGAGTGATAAGATGTATTGATAAACAATCAGTAGTGAAACACTCACCTTCAGAAACGCCCCAGAGGACAAAAGCAAGAAACATCAGAATATTTGGACAGAAAACTAGAAACAGATGAAGTCCTACCTCTACATCTAGAGATAAATGACAAAATAACTCAAATTCAGTCACATGGTAAATGTAGTAAAATTAAATAAATTAAATAAAATTGCAGCACTTCTTTAAACTTGCAATTAGCATAATATGTCACTAGAGGGCGATAAGTATGCAACAGCGTGAGAATACCATCATGGAGAGATGCAAAGCAGGTAGTAAAATCCCTCAAAATTCAAAAATGGGGACATTCCATAGACTTCTATAGTTTTTATAATAAACTAATTATAAATGCTATGCTCACCCTAACCTCCTCAGAAAATATTCTGCATTTTTTTAAATAATTAAAAAAAGTACACAAAACAAAACACAAAATATGATTGAGGTATACACACAAACACAGGCTTTTCACTCTGTTTCACCATGTCAGTCTGCGATTTGTTTCTAATTTGAAACTGGTCCGAGTGTTTTGTTTCTTCAGCTGCAGCAAGAGTTTCTTTCTCATGTCCTGCATCAAAGATGCCTTTGTGGTTAAAATTCACACCAAAAAAAAAGGGTATTCTTAAATTCCAAATATGTGTTTTGTTGTAATCTTGTAACAATGATGAATTAATTATCATATTATAATAGAATTTGGTTTCTGAAGCAAAAACCAATAATAAATAGACATTTATTTTCAGTGTGGTGTTAAAAAAAAAAAAAACTAAAATCAGATAAAAGATTAATTAAGCCAGTTTAAACATCATCACCATTATTATTATTAATATTATTATTATACACACTCCTTTATCATACTTGTTATACACATACCGTTATTATGTGATGTGCAGTAGATCAAACAGAAGAGCAGAAGTGCAGATCCAGACGCAGTAATACAGAAAATTAACATTATTATGTCTAAAGTAGAGAAACCTGTAAACACAGACACCAGTTACTGAACGGCAGAGCCGCAACCACCATAGGCGAACATCATATAACCTACTGCAGTCTATTTCGCTATTTATAGGGTGACAAAAACGGTGCTCGTCAAAATGATTAAGATGTCAGTGTCAAAATAATTGAAATGGATCAAATCAAAGGTGACTAATTTTACTATTTACGAACTAAACAGTTAACTTGTTTACAATAGAAATGTTAAACGAACAACAATATCCAGGGAAGCAAAATACTCAACATTTCTCAAATTCCACCATTTTTAAAGGAAAATAGTGATTCTGAACCATTTACATGATTCATGTTATGTAGGCTTTAACGTATCACTGTTTTACAGTTTTTCTCAGTGGCTTTGGTGCATTTCTCAGATCAGAAATTAAATTATCAAAACTACTTGTTCAACCTCCACATCATCTAGTCACATGTGCACACCATAAAAGCAGTTTCTCATTCTTTTGAACAAGCTGTGATTGCTTTGGTACATCCATGCAACTGATTATGTACATTTGTCTGCGGTTTCCTACATTATCAGTTGCTATTGTCATGTTGCTCAAAATGTATTATATAGTTCTCTGTGCAATTGTCTTAACCCTCAAAACATCTAGGCATTAGTTCATCGTATAAGTCATTAAATGCAAAATGGTTGATCTAGTTGTCATAAACTGTCAAGCATATTTTCTACACATTTCTATTAGACTTTTTGTAAATTTGCCATGACTTGTGCAGGTGAATCTTGACTTTCACTAATAAAGAGAATAAGGATCAGCTAATGATAAACCAGTTCTCTGAAATTGCTCAAAGGTGCATCTCATGGACCTTCAGTTGGAAAGCATATATAGACAGAGGACAACACAAGAGTTACAGATTCTGACAATGGATGAACATCCAGAAAACGATCAGGGTCAACAATCGAGAGGAAGAAGAGGACTAAGGATGCATGGTGGAAGGGTACAGAGGCAAAACAGAGGAAGAGGCCAAGGACAGAGGCGCATATCAGATGAAATAAGGGCCACTATTGTGGACCATGTTGTCAATCAATGGCTGAGGTGGATTTTCTGTGTTTGCCTTTCTAATTTTGTATTTTTGCCTTTGTGCCCATATTTCTTTTCTTTTCTATATCACAATGACGTTGAATCCTATCCAGTCTCTTTCAATCACTATCCCGCATACAGTAATGTGTAAATTTGTACTTTTGAAATGGATATATGGCATACATAAGAAGTGCAGCCTTCTGCATTTCAATACAGCACGGTAATCCATAGTGTGGTGCTGTTTGTACACATTGTTTTGAGAAATGCACATACTTCTTTGCCAATATTGAGGACGATTCGAGAAATGCACCAAAGCTACTAAGAAAAACGTCTCGGTTACATATGGTAACCCTCGTTCCCTGAAGGAGGGAACAGAGACGTCACGTCGGATGACCGACGAATTGGGATCTCGCTT